TGACACACTCACAGATACACACAGTCACACTGACACACACAGTCACATGGGTACACACACGGATACACAGTCACACTCACATTAACACACACACAATCACACTCACAGGGTCACACAGATGCACACACACAGTCACACTCACATTGACAAATATACACAGCCGCACACAGTTAGTCAGACAGATACCTACACACTCTCTCACACACACGTGCATACATACACACACAGAGTTACACTCACACTGACACACAATTGCACATGGAGTCACATTTATACTGACACACACTCTCACAGACACACACAGGCTCTCATACAGACATGCTCTCTGACACACATAGACACAGTTTCATGGACAAACACATATACTCACATCGAGAGTCTCGCTCACATGCACACATGACATACATTGACAAATATACACAGCCTCACACAGTTAGTCAGACAGACAGACATCTACACACTCACAGCCTCAAACAGACAGGAACACACAGTTTCATGCATTCGCATACAGCCTCATACACACTCAAACACACACTCATACAGACATACACAAACACAGCCTGAATTAGGAATACACTCACAGTCTCATACAGACACACACATACACACACAGAGTCTCATACACACCCACACACAAATAGCCTCATACAGACAGACACACACACACAGAGTCTCATACAAACACACTCACACACACACAGCCTCATTCAGACACACAGTCTCATACAGACACACAGTCTCATACAGAAGGACACACACACACACACACAGCCTCATTCAGACACACAGTCTCATACAGACACACAGTCTCATACAGAAGGACACACACACACACAGAGCCTCATATAGACACACAGTCTCAAACAGACAGACAGACAAATAGACACACACACACAGCCTCATACAGGCACACAGCCTCATACAGACACACACACAGCCTCATACAGGCACACAGACAAACAGACACACACACATTCACAGCCGCATAAAGACAGACACACTCACTAATGCATTGCCCCACACCCACCCACACAGCAGTACCAACTATGTACCACAGGCTGTGGTCCGTGCACACACCAACCCTCACTACCTCCCTTCTCTGATTCCCTCCATTCCTCTCCCCCTCCCTCCCTCAGGAACAAACCTCACGTCCTTTAGAGATACGGCCTTTCCATCACAATTTCCCCAAATGGCTTCTTGCCCCCCAGAAATCTCTGCCAGCCCCCTTCCCTCAGTGAGTATCTCCCTCTCTCTCTGTCTATGTGCCCCCCCCCCCCCCCCCCCCCCAACACCTTGCTCACCGTGCCCGGGCTGGAGATTCTCTCCCCTCGGTTACTCACTCAGGGGGAGAGGGGGGCACGGTGGGTGAGTGAGGGAGGGGGGAGGGAGTGCCCTGGCAGGGGCTGTGAGGAAGGTTGTGTTGGGGAGGGGTTGGGAAAGAGACACAGGGAAAGGGCACCAATACCGCGGCCCCCCACCGCCCCCCCCATGCCAATAAGAGACAGTTTTGACTGCACCAGCTAAACGATGTTGCCCAGTCGCACCCACCTCTTCAACGATGAGCCGGGCACAAGGAGTGGTACCGAGAGAATCGAAGGCTGGGGTGGGGGGCACAGGCCAAGGCAGGGGTGTTGTCGGAGTCCTCTGCGGGATGCAGTTCCTGGATAATCCAGGGGGAGAGGGACAGGAAGGATGTCGATTCTAGAAGGAGATGGTGCTGTGTACCAAGAGGCTCTTTCTCTCTCTCTCTCTCTCTCTCTCTCTCTCCCTCTCCCACTCACTCTCTCCCACTCTCAATCTGTCTTCCTATTTTACCCCTTCCACACTCTCTCTTCCACTCTCTCAATCTGTCTTTCTCTGTCACACTCTCAATCTCTCTATCTATTCCACACACTCTCTCTCTTCCTTTTGCTCTTTTGATATCTCTCTCTCTCAATCTCTTGCTTTTTGTCTTCCTCTCTCCCTATCTCTTTTCCACTCTCTCTCTTTTGTCTTCCTCTCTCACTCAATCTCTCACTCTCTTCCTCTCTCACAATCTCACTCTCTCAATCTCTCTTGTCCTCTCTCACAATCTCTCTCTATCTCTCTTCGACTCACTCAGTCTCTCTCTTTTGTCTTCCTCTCTCTCTCAATCTCGCTCTCTCTTCCTCTATCTCGATCTCTCTCTCTCTCACTCCTCCTCTATCTCTCTCTCTCTCTCTGTCTCTCTGAGCTGTGGGTTACAGATAGCCCTCTGTCCTCTGCAGCAAGTCACCAGGGAGAGGTGGGTCTGGCGGAGCTGCCCTCCGTCTCTGGGAGCGGGTGTGGGGGCAGGAGAGGATGGAGAGAAGGGGGTTGGGGGACTGGGAGGGGATGATAGATCAGCCCAGCCCAAACTCTGGCTTCCCTTTCTTCGTTCGTAAGGTTCTGCCAAGTGAGCAATCAGTCTGTGTCTGTCAGAGGCAGAGAGACACAGTCAGGGACAGAGAGACCTTCCTAGTCGATGGGGTGGGGGGGGGGGGGGGAGGGGGGAGGGTCAGGCATTCTGTATCCTGACTGGCTGTGGAGAATATTCCTTCATCTTTGAATCTCACGGAGAGACAGAGGATTGGACAGAAGATGGGGGGATGGGTAGGGAAAGGGAAAGAGGTGGGCTAAGGAGGACCGAATGGACAGGCCCTGGGGTGGGGGGAGGGAGGAGAACGGGAGAGTGT